GTGCATGGAGAAGGACATCATGGTTGATAAAGTGGTGGCTCGGTGAAAAAGAAAAAGATCCCCAACAAGAATGACACTGTGGCAGTAATCATGGGCACAAACATAACAACACTGGGGTTGGCACAGAATTGAGCAGTGGTTTGTTGTGTTGTACACAGAGTCGCTATGAGTCAAAACCAACTCAATGACACCTAAGACCCTAGCATTTGGACATTTACAGCATTTGATTTGGGTAACAATCATGTGAGATCAAGAATCAATTGTTTATTAAACAAAAGCTAAACTAATATATATATATATATATATTTTTTTTTTTTTTTAAAGGTCATTTGGAGCAAGCTAGCATTGTAGGTAAATGTGCTGAGCAGACCTTCAACAACCAAGACATAGGAGACCAAATGAAACAGACACAGATGGTGGTCCTGGAAGGCTGGGCTTCAGAGGGAGGACAGAGGGGTAGACAGAGTGTTGACTGGAAGGGGAGGCGGAACAGTAAAAAAGGCATATCCAGAGAAAAGAAAAATGGGAGGACCCTACGGTGGTCTGCAGTGTTACAACCATCTTGAGTTTTTGCAAGCAACTGATGATACAGCGGCCAGCAGGCACAGGACACAGCTGGAGGCTGGCAGCAAGGGGAGTGTGGTACTCCCTTGTTTCCACACGCTTGCCAGCCCAGGGGCCTGTGGCAGGGTACCCCCTCCTGTGCAGCCTAGCTTCTCTGCTCTGCCTGGGGTCAGGCGCCAGGGATACCACTCCTGCTTTTGGTGGTGTGTGAACTTGCCCTGAACTGTGCTACACAAACTGTAAACAGAGAATGCATTCACACTTCTGAAGTAGTCTCTATCAAATCCACCAGGATACAGGTGGGGAGTAGCTGAGACCGCAATAATGCACAGCCATCAATTAAATATAAATATAATGACATCACAATGTTTTGGAGAAAACAGAGAATTTCAGCTTACACAAAGAAATAAGACAGAGTGCCTCTAACAAGTGAGCAAAATGCAGAGCCAGAAAATATAATACCAGATATGGTAACAGAACTACTTGATAAGGAATTTAAAAGAATGATATTTAGGTACTTTTGATGGATTGAAAGAATGATTGAGAAAACTGCAGATGAAGTTAAGGAAAAGGCAGAAAAAACTTTAGAAGAATTCAGGAGATAAAACTGACAAAATAAATGAAAAATGGTGGTGGGGGTTGATGTGCTGTGGAGTTGGTTCCGACTCATAGTGACCATGTACAGGGTTTCCGAGGCTGAAAATCTTTACGGGAGCAGAAAGCCTCATCTTTCTCCTGCGGAACAGCTGGTAGTTTCGAACTGCTGACCTTGTGGTTCGCAGCCCGACTCGTAATCACTACACTACCAGAGAGCGTAGCAGCCCGATTTGTTACCACTACGCTACCAGACCTCCTTAAATGAAAAATACAAAATCATAAAAAAAAGATCAATGAGAAAGCCACAAGATTGATACTAAGAATTCAGAAATAGATAATGTACTGAAAGGGTGAAGAAATAGAATTGAATCAATGGAAGGCCAAATTACTAAGCTTAAAGGCAAATCTCTTAATATTCATTTGCTAGAGGGATATTGGAGTCCTGGTGTGGCACTGTGGGTTAATGCGCTGGACTACAAGGTCAGTTTGAATCGTAAAGTCGGTGGTTCAAACTCACCAGTCGCTCCTCGGAATCCCTGTACAGGGTCACAAAGGGTCGGAACTAACTCAATGGCATTTAATAACAACAACCAGAGGATACCAGAAAAAAAATTATGTGGGATACTATTATGAAGGTATTATCATGAAAAATCTATAAAGAAGAATATGGTGTCATTTGTATTTATCTTTATGTGTGACTGGAATTCAAGAACAGGAAACAACAACAACAAAAATAATCACAGAGGAAATTGGCCAAGAGTCGTTGGAAGAAAAAGTCCCTTAACATCATGAAAGATGAGAAGACAGTCATTCAAGAAGCTGAATGAACTTCAAACAGGGCAGATACCAAAAGAAAATCACCAAGATACATTATAATCAAGATTTTCAAAACCAAAGACAAGGAAAAAATCCTGAGAGCAGCTCAAGAAACAACAAAGTTACCTACAAAGGAGAACTTGTAAGACTTAACTCTTGATTTCTCAGCAGAAACCATGCAGGCAAGATGACAATGGGATGACATATAAAACTCTGAAAGAAAATAACTGCCACCAAGAATCATGTAGCCAGCAAAACTGTCCATTATTTGATGGGAAAATCAGGACATTTTTAGATACACAGAAATTAAAGGACTCTGTAATAACCAGACCAGCATTACAAAAAAATATTATAGGGAGTTCTTTGGACAGCTATCAAAAGCAGCAAACAACCAGAAGACTAACATACATGACAGTATCATCAAGAACTCAACCCAGATAAAGACGTTTTCAAAGTAAAACAAAGCTTGCGGTCACTGTTGTTAAGTGCTGTTGAGTAGGTTCCAACTTATAGAGAACCTGCATTGGGTTTCTAAAGTTATAAATCTCTGTAGGAGCAGAAAGGCTCATCTTTCTCTAGCAGAGTGACTGCTGGGATCGGACAACTGACCATGTGGTTCATAGTCCACTGCTTATCCTACAGAGCCTCCACACTCCCCAGAACAAACCAATAAGACTGAAAGTAGGGAACCAGTATACAACAACAGAAAAACATGAAGTAAAACAAGGGAACAATATAATCACAGAACTTTCAAATGAAGAGGAAATTAAGTAGATTTCAAGAAAAATTAAAATGAATAAGTAAAAACAAAATCTAATTGTAACTCTAAAATTAGACCAAGCTTTACTCGTAGCCCTAGCCCAATCCTTACCTCAACACTAATTTTAATCTTAGCCATAACCCTAAATTTTAAAAATCTAAAACCAAATAAATATGCTCTGGGTAATATGACTAGAAAAAAGTACAGGTATTGAGTTGTACTCTTGCCCTATAGGATTGCTATGATTATAGTTACTAACTTCTGTTGAGTCAGATTCAACCAAGAGCAACCCTCTGTACAGCACCACCCTCACAAGTTTTGTTATGGTGAACCCATTATGCCACACGAGTTTCAGATACCAACAGAGTAACCATGGTAGACAGATTTCAGTGGAGATTCCAGATTAAAAACAGACTAAGAAGAAGGGAACAGGCAGTCCACTTAGGAAGGTTAGTCACTGAAAACCTTATGAGAAAGGTTGTTAGGACTAGAGAAAAGTAAAACAATACAGTTCTACAAAAGGTTGCTATGAGTCAGAACTGACTAGATGGCACTTAACGACAACTCTACCCTAGACTTACTCTGAGTCGGAATCAACCTGTTGACCATGGTTTTGGTTTATGATTGCTTTTGTTGTTGTCAGGTGCCATCGAGTCAGAACCGACTCACAGCGACCCCATGCACAGCAGAATGAAACAATGTCCAATCCTGGGCCAACCCCACCACCGCTGCCACACTTGACATTATCAATGATGTCACCTGGCTGATTATCTCGTTGGGGGTCTTCCTCTTTTTCTCTGACCCTCCATCTTACCCAGCATGACATTCTTCTCCAGCGACTGTTCTCTCCTGACAATATTTCCAAAGTATGAGAGACGAAGCATACCTTTCCTGATTTTAAACCACTCAATATTCCCTTGTTCTGTTCAAATAACTCTATGTAGAGGTTCCTCATGAGCACAATTAAGTGTTCTAGAATCCCCATTCTTCACAATGTTATACATAGTTTGTTATGATCCATGCAGTTGAATGTCTTTGATTAGTCAATAAAACAGAAGTAAACATCTTTCTGGTATTCACTGCTTTCAGCCAAGATCCATGTGACATCAGCAATGACACCCCTCATTCCATGACCTGTTTGGAATCCTGAATTTCTGGCAGTCCCCTGTCAATGTACTGCTGTAACCATTTTATAATGACCTTTAACAAAATTTTATTTATATATGATAGTAATGCTATTCTTTGATGATTTTCACATTTGTTGGGTCACCTCTCTTTGGAATGGCACAAATATAGATCTCTTCCAGTCAGTTAGCCAGGCAGCTGTCTTTCAAATTTCTTGGCAGAGCTAAGTGAGTGCCTCTAACACTGCATCAGTTTGTGGAAACATTTCAATTAATATTCCATCCATCCCTGTAGCTTTGTTTCTCACCAAGGTCTTTACTGCAGTTTGGATGTCTTCCTTCAGTACCATCGGTTCTTGACCATATGAACCTTTTCAAATGACTGAACAGGGACCAATTCTTCTTTTTGTTTCAGTGACTCTGTGAACTCCTTCTATCTTTTTTTAGATGCTTCTTGCACTGTTCAGTATTTTTCCCACAGAATACTTCAGTATTTTAACTCAAGGCTTGAAGTTTTCCTTCAGCTTGGTGTAGCTTTTTGATTCCTGACTGCATAGTCCATGCTCTTAACCAATAAAAATGATTAACTCTTTGGCAATTCCATTTTAAAATGACCAAAGAAGGGTAGTTGATGATGCCATTTATCAGCTATCACATAGCTTAATTTAGCAGATGTATTTAAATAACAAGAATAGTAAATAGTGATTTGCAGCAAGATGGCAGATTCGGCAGATGAACCCTCTATAACAAATGCAAGAGACAAAATGAAACAGACACAGATGAAAATCCCGGAACCCTGAACTTCAGAAGACAAGTTAGAGAAGTGGACTGAGTGCTGGCTGGGAAGAGAAGCTGAGCAAGGACGGCAAGAGAGGGAGACTGACTGGTACAATGCCAGCCAGATGCAGCAGCTCCTGGTATCTGGGAATGGACCATCGGGAGGCAGACTGGGTGTTCAGAACAGCCATGTCTAGCAAGAATGGAGTCAACAAGCAAGATGGAAAACATAGATGTAAAGAAATAAAAAGACAAACCCTATCTACCTTACATTATTATTTTAACTAGGACCCAAAAACTCACATAAGAAAATTTAACAGTTGTGTTAACAATTCACAACAGTAGAAGTGGCTCAATCCTACCTCTTTCTCATGCATCTGGGAGAGTAAATGATCTTCGTGAAAACTGCTGGATTTTCTTAGGCTGAATTTTGGAGTCATCTGTTGAATAAAACAAGAATTATTCAATGCTTTTATGAATCTGGCTTATCCTCAGCCCAAAAGTAAATTTCAGAATGTCTGAAGCCCATGCCAAATAATGACAACACTAGAGCAAAAGTGATTCAACCATGTCCAGGTGACTAGGGTTAATAAGACTATTATTAAGCTTCATAATGTGAACCTACATTATTTCCTGTAAAGACTTCATGGTTAGTTTATTGTAAAATGCCTGTCCCTAGAAAAAAGTCCAATGGATTTCTCACCTACCAGAGAAACTGGGACTGGCTTCTGTCTCAGATACCGAGGATTTTCTATCTGAAAATTTTAAAAGAAATAGGCTGTTTTAATTTTAAAGAATAAATTGTTACGTAATAAAACATAAAATTAAGCTACTAGTCAGAAACAATTTTTTACAGTTATAAATAACCAATTTATTCTCTTTATTTTTAATTTTTTTATTATGATTTGGGTGAAAGCTTAAAGACTAAATTGGTTTTCCATTCAACAATTCATACCCATTTCATTTCATGATGCTAACTGCAAGGTCTACAGTGAAACAGCACTCTATGTGGTCACCCTTTTCCATTCATCTTTCCTCTACCTTCCTGCCTTGGGAGTGTTTGTCTGGGTAAAGGCTGCCCTTTGCAGCTCCTATAGTTGACTGTTCTAAGGGAATCACACTTCCCTGGTGTTACTGTTCACTTCACAGTTCTATCATTTAGCTGAAAGTTGAGTCACAGGGGTGAGTTCAGTTCCAGACTAAAGGGCCATAGCCTTGGCGGTTCCACCAGTGTCTATCACACCAGTAAACTTGATGTTTTCATAATTTTGAGTTTTGTTCACCATTTTTGTCCCACTCTATGCAGGACCTCCTACATGATCCGTTTCAAAGCAATCAGCAGGGGTAGCCAGGAACCATCTAGTTCTGGTCTTAGGTAGGAGAAGCTGGGTTCACCTGGTCCTAATTTAGTCCTTTGGACTAATTATTTCCTTGTGTCTTTGATTGTCTTCATTTTAAGATACAACCAATACTTGTATCTTAGATGACTGGTGTCCAGTTTTTAAGACCCTAATCGCTACTTATTAATGTAGGATGTAGAACACTGTCTTTGTGGACTCCGTTATGTCAGCTGAATTTCATTCCCCTGAGACTAAGGTCCTAAATCCCCAGACCCAGCAACTCATTCCCTCAAGGTACTTGGTGATGGATAAAAAGTTTTCATTACTTTGACCCCATATGCTGATATCAGGTGGAATATGGCTGAAAGCAGAAAATGCCAGAAAAGATGTTTACTTGTGTTTTATGGTCTATGCAAAGGCATGTATCTGTGTGGATCACAACAAAATATGGGCGCAGTTGCAAAGAATGGGAATTCAGGAATACTTAATTGCACTCTTGCTAAACCTACAGATAGACTAAGAGGCAGTCATTCAGACAAAACAAAGGGAAACTGAACGGTTTAAAATTAGGAAAGGTGTGCGCCATGGTTGTATCCTTTCACCATATTTATTGAATATGGATGCTAAACAAAAAAATCCGAGAAGCTGGACTGTATGAAGTAGAACATGGCATCAGGACTGAAGGAAAGCTCATTAACAACCTGTGCTATGCAGCTGATACAATAAGATCACAGGCTTCCATATGGATTGCACCTAAATGTAAACAAAACAAAACAATCCTCACAATTGAGCCAATAAACAACATCATGATAAATGGAGAAAACATTGATGATGCCCAGGATTTCATTTTACTTGGATCCACAATCAAAACTCTTGGATGTAGCAGTCACGAAATCAAAGATGCATTGCATCGGGTAAATCTGCAGCATAGAACCACTTTAGAGTGTCAAAGAGCAAAGACATCACTTTGAGGACTAAGGTGCACCTGACTTAAGCCAAGTTATCTTCAATTGCCTCACATGCCTATGAAAGCTGGACAATGAATAAAAAAGATAGCTAAAGAATTGATGCCTATGAATCATGGTGCTGGAAAAGAATATTGAAAGTACCATGGAATGCCAGGAGAATAAACAGATCTGTGTTAGAAGATGTCGTCAGTATGCTCCTTAGAAGCAAAGATAGGGAGATTTTGTCTTA